TGGTTTCTCTCCTTTGTATATCTCTTTCTCTTTGTGTTGAGCATTCATTCCGGATGCAGTAGTCAAACCAAAGCGTTCATCCAGCTCTATCTCGTACTCATTAATCTTAAACTCATCATCTCTTATTATCAACAAAATCAAGTGAAAAAGCAACAAACCTTCTTGCTGATATCGTTAAATGCAGTGAACAACGCCTGTCTCGCAGTTTCAAATGCATGGTGTGCACCCAACGCTCTGATATAATAGAAGACAATGTCAACCCATTTACACTGCAACTTATTATCTTATGACATCAATATCATCCTCGAAATATCCACACCGCAAGCATTATTCCCATGGAAACGATTGAAAATCATAATCAAACACACACCATATCAACAGTAACGAAAATGGTTCAGACGAAACCGTTAATTGAAAATGTAATACAAAAAGAAAACGTGATAGGACAAACACAGAAAAGAATTATAAATGGTATACATTTTATAAGACACGGTTAGGATTACAGAAGTGATCATAAATAGAAGAATAAAAGCCAACAAAACAGGCATAAACACTGTTTTTAGGATATACATGAACAGAACATATGTCGAAGATAGTAAATTAGCTAGTCGACGAGCAGAGGTATGGCATAAATGACCTGAATTTTGCAATTCTTTGCCGAGATAAACGATGGGACGCGCATGAACGCAAGGTCGCGTGCACTACGCAATGGCTCATGTTGGATTATCTGAACTATGTAGAGCTGATAAGCAATTATCATAAAATGCTTCAGATTCATGCACGGATGTGTGACAGCTCAACAACCCCCATCAAAGAACGAGTACAGTACACGTACAACACTCAAACAAACCTACCGCATAAACAGCCAATAAAGCGATTTGATTGTACGAACGGCCATTTGCAGGTCCCAACTGCGCGCCTCTTGTATACCATCTGTAAACAAATACACCATTTACTGCATTCAAAACACCACAAGCGAAAACTCACAATCTCGCTGCCGAATAGTCCTTCACACCTCGAACCATCGCCAGATACCGATGCAAATCCCCAATTGATATTGCTAACCGCTGTGCTGATAATACGGCTATCTAAAGTCATTTAACTTTGAACGAATACTGCTGCAATAAAGCCAAATCAAACCCACCTTCAACGACCGATCGTTCCCCTCCATCGACCTGCTCCCTATCTGAGTACAATTCGCAAAATCATCATTTGGCACGCTCGTCGGCCAATACAAGAAGTCATCAATCAAAAAACCGAATCGCACTTCATATTTATTATTCAACAGACTCGTATAGAATTCCAATCCCTAAAACCACTCAGTTAACAACACAGATATGCACACTTTCCATTGAATAACAAATCAAAAATATGTGCAATGATAATAATCGTTCGAAAGATTATTCCAAAACGAAAATAATGATTGCAGGCATTAGACATTAAGAATTATCAGCCAGATAGTGGAATATAAAATGCGAAATAACCCGTTGAATGAGCGTGATAAGAAGTGATCTAAATTTGAGAACGTTCGATTGGCTGAAGGCAGATGCATGTGAACTGTTAGAAATGGATCGAAGTAGTTCAATGGGCTTGTAGAAGCACTGCTTCCACATGTGCTGCTCGAGGTTCATAGCGTACGTGTACTCGATATCACGGGTCATTATCGTCACAAACAAGTCGGACAGCTTGCAGCTGCAATTTAGTCTATTATACTCTTCAAGTGCCACTCGAGAAAAAAAAAGGTCCACTCAACCTGATATTCAACAGTTCTTCTCCTGCATCCACATTCCCAGTCTCATTAATTCGCGCAATACAAATCGCCATTTGATCATTCAACTTTTGGATCAACGGTCCTTCATTTCGAGATATTTCCGTATGAATTGGCCATTCGGTCGGAGGCACTTCCATCTTGCGACCACGCTCCTTACGCCATACAACACCTAAAATTTTATATCATCATTGATCAATCAACCGAACGAATCCATAGTCGTTCACCACAAAAACAAAACGAACCAGTGTTGCATGACGGCAAAGGCATTGACTGAACTGGAGTATTGCTCAACAGCTGAACACTATTATTCAAATGAGGTATGACAGCAACTGACGGAGGTGGTACAATCAGATTGGGTGGAGGTATTGAAGTGTCGATTACGAATGAGCTAGATGATGCTACTCTGTAATTTATTACAAATCAATACGGCATAAACAATTCAATTGCAATTCCCAAATAAACTTTATCGTACTAAACACATCAGTACAATACACACTCTCTCATCACACGCAATGCAAATATAATCCGTCCTTTCAATCATAATCAATTCAATAATAATAATAATAATAATAATAATAATAATAATAATAATAATAATAATAATCTGCCCTTTTNATGCTCTCTAAGTTCAGTACCATTCATTCTGGTATTAAACCAACATAAATAAAATACTTTCATAAGCACATCTCTTATCCCTTCTATACCGCAATATAATATTATAATGATATAAACAAATAACCTTGCAAAAGGTGATACAACAGCCACAGGGTGTGTTGATTTTGGTGAATGAAATGAAGGTGATCCGGCAGTGTTACTATTCGGAGGGGTAGAGGAGGGTGGAGGTACAATGATATGAGTTATTGGATTCGATGTCGACGGTTCATTACTGGACAGTTTTGCTGATTCGCATTCATCACTGAAACTTCATTTTATAGTCTTCAGTCGATACAAATTTCGTTGGAACTAGTGTTAAAACAAAAACATTGAACGAACCTCCGATCAGAATCCGATATCGCTTTCGATGAGCGTTTGTCACTTCCAGATGCNTGGATTCGATGTCGACGGTTCATTACTGGACAGTTTTGCTGATTCGCATTCATCACTGAAACTTCATTTTAGTGTCTTCAGTCGAGACAAATTTCGTTGCAACTAGTGTTAAAACAAAAACACTGAACGAACCTCCGATCAGAATCCGATATCGCTTTCGATGAGCGTTTGTCACTTCCAGATGCTGTGTTTCTAATTCTAAGATGATGATCAACACCATCTACACCACTCTCTGAATGTTTTAATATGATATCAAATAAAATAAAATCAATGATAGTATTATCACACGCCAACTTCATCACTATCTTATATAAACGTCATACATCAAATTCTCATGCATCAAACGTCATACATCATACATCAAATCGTCATACATCAACATCAAATTCATCCAAATAATTCTCTTGATATCAAAAATGAATTCATTTCAAAATCAAACCTTTCCTAGACGAAGTCTTTTCCATCTGAATGTGATCATCACTCTTTCGATGCGCTTTAATCGTATCCGGGTATACATGTGGATGATGATCATCATTTGTGGATGTTCGATCGTCATTACTATCATTTTGATTAGTTCTCGATGAGTGACTAGTATAGCTATCTGAAATGATGCATATCACTACTGCAATAATAACAAACCGAAAGCATCACCCACCATTTCTGCACCTATTGCGTTGTGAATAACGCATATTTGTGCCTCTTGCAGATGCCCTTCTCTTAGCATCGTTGCGATCATTTTCATTCGACTCTCGCATTCGTGCAGCATCCGAAGACGATGGCACATCTTCACTACGTTCCCTTTCCTCTCGTTCCTTCTACAATCACCACCACTTTCATCTATCTCATCAGTAAACCCAATCAAATTATAATACCTTTCTGCGTTCCACTTCTTCCACTTCATCACTCCAATTGAATGGCAACGTATTGAAACTTGCACATAAATCCTTAAACACATTCATGAAGCACACAAATCACAATCATCAATCAACCAATATCAAATCTAAATAACAAATAACCTGAAACGACTGATATTGAGACGGTGAAAATGCTCTTTCGTTGAGTGTCGTTTTATTTTTCTGACGGTCTTTCGACTGAAAAGACAAATTAATTATCAATTTGTAACTGACAACAAATAAGAATACAAAACAGAAACGAACAAACCTCCTCCTCAGCACGATACTCTTCATCTAATCGCTGTCCACTTCTCGTCTCTGACTTATTTCTGC